TATATACATATTAGGATTTTGTCATTTTGGATCACCATTATGGATAGTCGTGATGTTTCAAATATTTTGTTTTTTATTACGAAAATCGATATTTGTATCTGTGTATTTACTATTTAGGACTTTTATTTGCCTTCGCCTTTTATATAGCCGTTTTAGGTGTGGAAAAAATAATTTTCCAGTCTGACTTATCACTGATCAGAGTTCAGAGTCAGACTGCATTCGCTGAGAAGTCTGAATCTGACACAGTGACAGATAATGATGCATTGATAATTTTTTACCAGCCTTCTGAATTATATATTCTTGAATAAATTTTTCAATTTGTTGGTCTGTGGCCGGTGGGCCTGTGGCATTACACACATCCCGTGACTAAAAATAGAGGCAAAGCGTTTAACCGGCAAGCCAAATAAGCTTGCTTTAGACCAATCAAATGGATAGATTTAACTGATAAACGCCGTACATATAAGACGAGTTTATTTACGAAATAGTGGGTACTGGGGACTGATGAGGTTAAAATCTTTTTAAAAAAAATATGTGGGGAAGGGCGCCGGTCCGGGAAACAAATAAAACTATAGAAAAAGCGTCAGGGATATTTTAACAGCACCATTATTGCCTCAGTGTATCAATAAAACATAACATAAACATGCCTTTTGATTTGGGTAGCTTGATCTCGGCCGGTGGCCGTGTACGTATAGGCGGACACACCACCGAAGAGTTGATGTCCACGGGTGCTGCGCACATCGTCGGATCGGATGGCACTACAGAGGGTGGGGCGTCTGATGTGGTGCAACAGTCAGATTTGACGGGAAACAAGAAGTCTTTGTTCATTGGAATTAACTATTTTGGAACCAAATCAGAGCTGAAAGGTACGTATGTATGGTTTGATATTATATTACAATGCGTTAAAGTTATGGCGGGCCTTTGTGTAGATGTGTCTAGTCTGTCTTAGTGGACTCGCCAGTGTTCTTTCTCGCTGCTATCACAGTGTATTTGCTGTATACTTTATCCGAACTATAATCCTTTATCCATATTTCATCGCCCGAAGGCCCCCTCCTTTTTTATATTGTCGGAGTTCTCAAGTAATAGGCGTGCTATATTTTAATCGTGTACACAGGCTGCATAAACGATGTCAAGAACCTGCGCGAGTTCGTGATCGATACCATGCAATTCCCAGACGACAAGGATCATATGCGCGTTCTAATTGACGACGGAAATGGTGATGCTATGCCCACAAGAGATGCGATTATGAAGCATATGAACTGGTATGTTGTAATACCTAAGACACGTACAGTTTGGTCCTTTAGCCATGATGACGAACTCTTTTGCTTCGCCTTGCGGCAGTTGATAAGCGTAGTCTTCTAAATGGCTCATGACAATTTACACGTGAGCAAGAGTATTTTGTATCAGAACGCACTACTTTTGGTATACTGCTCGGTAGCGCAATTGTTCGTACATCCATTGAAGTCTTTAAATTTGGGCACCTGACATTTCAGGCTTGTCGCGGGTGCGCAAAAAGGAGATTCGCTCTTCTTCCATTACAGTGGCCACGGCGGCACAAGCAAGGTATGCGAATGGTCCTAGCATGAGAAGTACGAGAGACTAACAAACGTAATATATTTGTATGCCGTCAAGGTACGTACGCGAATGTTTTTAACATGAGAAGTACGAGATACTATCAAACGTAATATATTTGTATGTCATCAAGGTACATATGCGAATGGTCTTAACATGAGAAGTACGAGAGACTAACAAACATATTATATTTGTATGTCGTCAAGGTACATATGCACATTTTTTCAACATGAGAAGTACGGGAAACTAACAAACGTATTATATTTGTATGTCATCAAGGTACATATACGAATGTTTTAACATGAGAAGTACGGGAGACTAACAAACGTATTGTATTTGTATGTCGTAAAGGGATGTGTGACATGTATTAACGAATGTGTCTCGTTTCTTGTAAGGATATATTCCCCATATTTCTGCGGCAAAGATCATTTATTTATTTTTTCCATTCTTGGTACTTGCACATAACTGTATTGGACAGTGTGGATAGCGATGAAAAAGTTATTATTGGTCCGTCTGTATAGCGATGGAAGAGGTCATACGAATTATATTTGTTGCTCCTGACCACTTAACGTGCATGATTGGCATTTGCGTATAAGACACGTTTTAGCGATGTCTGGCAATATCACAGCACTGCAAAATAGTCTACAGACCTCGCTTGGCAGTTTGGGCAGCTGGAGTCAACACTTGCTCACACTACAAACTATACATGCATGCGCAAATTCGTTTACTTGTGGTAGCGTAGGATGTTGGTTTAAAGCATTTGTAGGGTGTTGTTTATTTGGCTGTCTACGAGCGCATGATGGCCTCACAGACTGTCAACAAAGTGTACATGTGTCGAAATGACTATCGTAATGACTGGTTTTGCTAAATACAACTGTTTGTACTGGCGTTCGGTTGCCGCCAACAAGGCAGTAGTATTGTATTTCATATCATGTCGTACCAGTACTGGGAATTTTAACAACACCACAGCATGCATGGCTGTCACAAACCAACACATAGCAACATCTCAAATGAATTCGCACTCAAATACACACCCGGTATCTAGGACAAGAACGATTCCGATGAGCAGGATGGTCAGGACGAAACACTTTGTCCGATGGACTATGCGACCAAAGGTCAGATCATCGATGATTTGGTCCACAAGCATCTGGTGGAGGTGCTACCCCCCGGAGTGCGGTATGTTTGTCGTACTACACACGCCATACGACAGTACAGGTTGTTGCATGTGGCACCAATGATCTGCGAAAGCGGTACAGCTTCACTCCTTGAATGGCACGGACAGAGATATAGGTAGTTTCCATGTCTTATAGTAATTGCTTTACTCGCACTCCTTCCTGTCTATGTTTGTATGTAATCGGTGCCGGATAACAGTCTGCTAGTAATCATATACCTATACACAACATATCTTTCCATGATCGTATGCCTATATGCTTATGTATCCAGGTGTACATAATTTGTGCAATCCATAACGATTATTCGCCCCTATGCTACCATCCTCGCTACCATCCTCTCACAGGCTCACTGCGATTGTAGACGCGTGCCATAGTGGCTCGGTCTTTGACCTAGCATACACGTACAACATCGACGCCAACAACGCCATCATTGAGGTTGACAACAAGAAGATTGCAATGGATGCTGCTAAGGCCGCTTACGCAGCCCATAAAAAGGGGGACAAGATGGGAATGCTCAAACATGGTATGTTGCATTGCCAAGTATATTTGTTGATGTATATCCTCGGTTTTTTGATTGGTGACGGTAGTGTCTCAATAGTTCTTGCAAGAACTTGGGAGTTTCTGATCGATGACCACACGCCACAATTCGAGCTTCCTATTATATAATTGTGCTTATATAGTTCTTACTACCACGGGAATGCATGGGAAGAGTTTTCGAACAAATCTAAAATATGATCGCTACTGCCCGAACCACAGACACTTAAATGTTAAGTTAGTTCCTACGTTCATATATATGGCCTTCACTCTACGAATATGAATATATTCGGTGATGAGATTGTTTATGCTGGGGTTTTGAGAAGAATAGTATTGTTCCGAAAAACGATACAGCAAGCGACACATTTTGATTAAGAGACATGACAGGGTAAAGTAATTTGGTATGATTATATGCTATTATATGTACACACAACATCCACTTTCACAAATATATAACGATCCTTCCTCGTACTGCTGTCAATTACCACAATAGAGTTTTGAGAGGGTCTATGACGATATATTCTGATTGTGCTCTCCACTTGCTTTCAAAAGCGTGCTGTTGTCGTATGCGCACAGCATGTTCCCAGAAATTCAATCTCAACTCTAACCATATTGCTATACACATACAATTTTTAAGGTTTGAAGGGTGCCAAGGCAATCTTCGACGAATTGAAGGGCAACAATTATGAGGACAAGCCCGCTGGAGGCTCAGGTGACGGAGTGACCGATGCGCGCGTATCGAACAAGGAAACAGTAGCCGATGTCATACAGTTCAGTGGGTGCATGGACTCGCAAACGAGTGCCGATGCGCATATCAAGGGCCAGGCCACGGGCGCATTCTCATGGGTATGTTGGGAGACGAGACATGTGTGCGCTTCTACGGTGAGATGCATGATATCTGTATGTCTGTATGCCTGTAGATGCCTGTTAGCGATACGATTGAATATGGCAAGCTAAATGGCTGGACAACCTATGGTGTATTGAAATCATGACAAATGCTCGCTTCTTCTTCTTTGCAGGCTTTCATCGAGAGCATCAAATCCCACGGTGTCGGTAAGCAGACCTACATCGAACTACTGACAAACATACGCCAATTGCTAGCTGGCAAGTATACTCAGGTAAGAGCCCAATTTAGGAGAATGTCCTCCTTCGCGTTTTCTTCATCCTATTTTGCATGTCAAGTGTTCCTAAACCTTTTGCTAGGGTACTCAAACCGTTGAACTTCCGATGAGTAACTCTCTCCTTGTATCTCTCAGGTGCCCCAAATGTCGACCGGATATAAGATGAATATGCAAACCCCTTTCATCATGTGAGAGATGATTCGATGCTTATCGAGAACCTTCTCAATCAACATTGAAAAAGTCAATTATAGTATTTAGGTACGATTTAAGTGCAATATAGTAACAATACATCATATTGAATATTACTTTGCAATGACAATGCCTTCCGAATGTTTACGGACGATTGTCTTGCGTTGATCGATCGTCTTCCGTTATTTTACATGATGTCATAGTTCATAGCAATACTTGACAAGGTTTGAGCTCGAACTTCGAATTCTGGCAAGATAGTACGATTGCGTAGAGTTTCATGCCCGATTACAAACCCAGAGAGGAGTCTTGTAAGACATCTTCGCCTACACTGATAAAGAGTATAAGATCAGCTTATCTGTAGATTGCCAATATTTCTTTTCATGCTCGATTAGACAAAATAGACTGACTGGCTTTCCATACGCGCGAATCAGTGTAGACATCCTTTGAATGGGTACCCGAGAGCGCCGTATACGCTAACGTATCGGCTCAAATGGCAGGGGTGAAAGTCAATTTTTTTTATGTATGGTGGATTTAAAGCCGGGAATCTGCCTCGTGGCGACGCTATTAAATACTCACCAAACTCTTGTGCAGCTCAATTGCTCTACCACAAAATAAACTATTCTGATTCTCGTTGGCATGAACTATTGCTCAATATGAAGGTCTTCTTAATAGATGGGTGTGGTATAACAATATACAGAGTACATATCTAGCAGGCCGTATATTTACCATATGAACGGTGATGTCATATCGTTCTGTCAATCAAATACGTGAGTTTCACCTCACCTTCATGATTTCATTCTCACCCGGATCCAATTGGCAACTTAAGGTTGTTCGAATTATAGCGCGCCAATGCATCCTATTCAGAGAACATTACTGTCATAACTGGGAACGGATTATGAGGCCCTTGAGCTTATTGTACCGCTCGTGGACGTGGAAAGGAATGACTTCCGAGTCCCTTGAGCTTATTGTACCGCTAGTGGACGTGGAAAGGAATGACTTCCGAGTCCCTCGAGCTTATTGTACCGCTAGTGGACGTGGAAAGGAATGACTTCCGAGTCCCTTGAGCTTATTGTACCGCTAGTGGACGTGGAAAGGAATGGCTTCCGAGTCCTTTGAGCTTATTATTGTACCGCTAGTGGTCGTGAAAAGGAATGACTTCCGAGTTGGACTCGAGTGCTTAGCATCTGCACTCGTACTCGGTGCGTATTATATTGCACCACTCTAGCAGGATTATAACTATCCATCCCTTGATCGTAGTTCATTTTATGTCTAACGTCAGGTATAAGGTTTTTTATTTACTTATTACTATCAACCCCTTCCTAGGAAAGGAAGGGTATCGAATTGATTATGTACAAAGTATCAAACTATTTTACTTGCAGGATTACACGCTGGAACCTTGCGATTGGTTGGCGCACACTCGCATCAATATCCCGGTGCTCGGAGTACAGACACGGGCGTGCATCCATATGTTAATAGAGTACGTTATTATTGTATGTATGCAGGTGCAACTACTTAACCGGAACACATGGTGCAATCGTCCTTATTGTTGATAGAGCACAGAAGGGCCTCCTCGTTCTCTTCTGCTGTGCGTAGACTAGCGGTCTTAACAGCTGCGGCAAGTTTCTCTGTATCCACTGTAAACTGAATAGCATTTACGGCGGGACGTGTACGCAGGTAGTACATACCTGTCTTCAAACCCCTGTGTAACACAAATAATGTGATAAAATAGTGAGAAGGATTGTACGTAACACTGCAGATAATGTTCTACGCCACAATCATATGACAACGTAATTTGTCCCGAGTATGAATAATATGAAAAAGGGAAACAAAGCAAAGACAAAACAACAAGAAGACAACGGGCAAAACGGTCGAATCTCACTTACTTCTTGTACGCGTAGAAGTGCATGCTTGTCAGCTTTCCGAAATTGGGCTCAGCGATAAACAGATTGAAACTCTGTGACTGGCACACATAGGCACCCCTGTCGGCGGCCATATCGATCAGGCTCTTCTGCGACATCTCCCAGACGGTTCGGTATATGTCCCGTAATTGCTCAGGGATGCGTGTGATGTTCTGGATTGATCCTCCTGAAGCAATCAGCTGATTCTTCATATCTGTGTCCCACAATCCCAGATCGGTGAGGTCCTTCAGCAGATGCTGGTTGACAATCTGGAACTCTCCTGAAAGCACGCGACGTGTGTAGATGTTCGATGTGTAGGGCTCTATGCTCTCGTTATTACCCAGAATCTGAGCTGTGCTAGCGGTAGGCATAGGGGCGACCAACAGTGAATTTCTGAGTCCGTACAAAGCCATATTCTCCTTGACCTTAGCCCAATCGTGTCTATCCGAGGGGACAACATCCCACATATCGAACTGCAAGATACCCTTGCTCGCTGGGGAGCCAGCGTAGGTCTCGTATGGACCCTCCCTCTTGGCTATCGCAATACTCTCCGTCACCGCACTGTAGTAGATAGTCTCGAAGATGTGCTTGTTCAGCACGCGTGCATCGGGGCTATCGAATGGCAGGCGCATCAAGATGAACGCGTCTGCAAGGCCTTGTACACCTAGACCGATAGGTCGGTGGCGCTTGTTACTCTTCTCGGCTTCAGGCACAGGGTAATAGTTGACGTCGATGATTTTGTTTAGATTGCGCGTGGCTATTCTGGTGACCTCCTCGAGCTTCACAAAGTCGAACTCGGGGCCGTTTGCGCCGTCGGTCTTGACGTACTTAGGCAAGGCCAGGGACGCAAGATTGCACACAGCCACTTCGTCGGGGGAAGAGTACTCGACGATCTCACAGCACAGATTAGAGCACTTGATGGTACCCAAATTCTGCTGGTTACTCTTGCGGTTACACGCATCCTTGTACAGCATGTATGGTGTTCCGGTCTCGGTCTGCGCCTCTAGAATGGCGAACCACAGCTGCTGTGCCTTGATTACTCGCTTAGCTCTACCCTCGCGCTCGTACTTGTGGTACAGATCTTCGAACTCCTTTCCCCAGACATCGTCCAAGCCTGGTGCATCACTTGGTGAGAACAGACTCCACTCTCCATCGGCTTCGCACCGTTCCATAAATAGATCGTTGATCCACAGGCCGAAGAAAAGATCACGTGCACGCATCTCCTCTGAACCTGTATTCTTCTTTAGATCCAGGAACTCGAATATATCTGCGTGCCAGGGCTCTAGATACATTGCAAATGCTCCGGGACGCTTATTACCGCCTTGGTCAACGTAGCGTGCGGTGTTGTTAAATACACGCAACATAGGCACAAGTCCGTTGGAGTTTCCATTGGTTCCAGCGATGTAGCTTTCTTTGGATCTGATCTTGTGAACGTTGAGTCCGATACCTCCGGCACTCTTGGAGATCATCGCGCAAGTCTTCAGGGTGTTGTAGATACCTTCAATGGAGTCGTCCTCAATTGTGAGAAGGAAACACGACGATAGCTGGGGACGTCTTGTGCCGGCGTTGAACAGGGTAGGTGAAGCGTGTGTAAACCAACCCTGTGATAGGTTGTTGTATGTTTCAATAGCCCCATCGATGTCGTCGCCATGTATACCCACACTCACACGCATAAGCATGTGCTGAGGTCGCTCAGCAACTTTTCCGTCCAGGCGCAGCAGGTAGGATCTCTCTAATGTTTTGAACCCGAAGTACTGGTAGTTAAAGTCACGATCGTAAACAATCGCCGAGTTGAGTTTCTCAGAGTTGGCTCGCACACGCTGGATGAACTCCTCGGAGACCAGAGGACTCTGTTTGTCGTTCTTGGGGTTAACGTAGGTAGCCAAATCATTCATAACCTCACTGAAAACCTTCTTTGTTTCCTTGTGCAGATTGGACATCGCAATGCGGGCAGCCAGGATAGCGTAGTCGGGGTGTGTGGTGGTCATGTATGCACAGGTCTCAGCCGCAAGCGTATCTAGCTCAACGGTCGTGACACCGGCGTATATACCGGAGACGATCTTCATGGTCACATCAGTGGGGTCGACGAATTCTTCGTTCAGACCATAGCACAGTCGCGATATGCGTGATGTGATCTTATCGAAAAGCACAGCTTCCTTGCGTCCGTCACGCTTGGTGACATATAGTTTGGGTGCCATCCTGAGGATATGAAAGTACTACGTTTGATATGTTGTTCCTGGTGCACCTGCGACAAACTGACGTGTGCGCTAGACGCCTGGGTTGTCTAGTACCTGTTCGTTGCTGTTGGATATGTGCATTTCTACGTTGAATTTGGCTTGTTTCGCTCGTGTCGAGCTGTTCGAAAATCGAGAATGACTTACAGATGCCTATGGCTTTCAATTGGTGTAGCCCGCTACGAAGGTCGTTTGGGCGCGTAAAGTAAGACAGTTTCTTTTCAGTATTTATTTGCGTATTTTATTATGAAAGTGAATTTGAACTCAACCCTGAATATCGTAAACCGATGTTACAAATTATAAAATGAACCCTTGGAGGGGCTCTATACTTATAAAACTTTATGTCATCAATTTAGAATAGTACAAAAGCAAAAGAATATACGACATGATTACAATGGTGCGTCTGTATTATATATAGCCTAAAATTTCAGGCGGGATTCTGATGTCCAATGATATAGAGAGGATAACTAATTATAAAGTTGGCGGTCTTTATTTTCATATACATATTTATATCCAAACTCAAACTCTCTTGTGGTAAAACTGGTACACACAATTCACACAAGTTCTCTCGGGGCCCGGCCCGCCCGGGCGTGAATCAAAAGAAAAAAACACAAAGTATGTACGAAAGTATGTATGTATGTAAATAGTAAATTTGTATTGTAGTGAATGTGGAGTTTTAGTCTTGTAGACTCCTGATTTTTAGGAGGCTGTGCATATTTCCTGGTTTCCACAACGAACAAAATCACAACTTCAAATTATGCAGCGACTGTGTTATATGGCAAAATAATGGAATGAATCATATGCAGTTGCATGTATAGTATATTTTAGGGATTCGTATGTACAGGGAATGTATATGTGAATATATTGGAAAGGTCCATATGTATACGAAATTTATATTTATATTTTAGTAAAATACCCACATAAACATGAATTATTTATATACATAAATACATATATATATATATACATAAATATATACACACACACACACATATATATATATATATATATATATATATATATATATATATATATATATATATATATAGTACGTAGTACGTAG